ATTATAAACCATTGTATAAGCCATTAATGAACAAATTATTTATTTTAAAATTTTATAATATTTCTTAACCTTCATTAGTTGATTTGGCACTAATTTGCAAATTATTTTCATATGAAAGTTATGTGTACATATGTGTATGTGTGTTCCTGCCTTTATACTGTCCACACTTTTTCAGCCTTCAGGGCAATGTTCTAAGGAGCTTTTAAGATTTTGAAGGAAAGACAGATCATCAGGTCTCAGATAAATGCCTTGATCTCTAAGGTACAGAAACATTCTGTAAAGTATTCTTTCACTGTATGGAGAAAAAAAAGTAGATCAACTGTTACTGTGAGAAAAGAGGAAGATAAAAGATTATGTCCACAGGTTGGCTGGGGAGGCAGGAGGACTTGTTCTGTATTTGTCAGAAAAAAGACTACATGTGTTCCTGCTTGTTTTTGGGTACTGGATGAGTCTTGTTCCTGTTACATCAGGGTAGGGAAGCATCAACACTGTTTTAATGAGGCACCTGAAGGTTTTTCTGGTGTAGGAACATCAGCAGACTGGCATAAAATCTTGATTGCTGACTTTGTGTCACTTTGAGTTGGCCTTGATGCCATTAGCAGCACACTGGTGCTGCAAGGTGGGACTGGATTCATTCCAGATGCAATTTAGTACGTCTGGGACGATTCATACATCGTGGTTGAAGCCATTTGCTTTCCCCTAGTAGAGGTTTGACACACTGAAAATATTTCTCTCTGTGTGAGCTCTAGAGACTGATGTCTCTTTAATTTTCTTAGGGACCTTGTTTCGTAAAAAGTAAAACTTGCATGCCATGAATTTAGTCTTAATTAATTCTTCTTCTTGCATTCTTAATGCTTGAGTTGAGATCTTGAGTGTATGATTCAAAACTGTTTCTCATCTTTTGACAGTTTATCCCACAGTTTTAATGACTTCTTATTGTGCTGCATTGGTTTAAGAAGCACTAGCCAAATCTACTTTTGACTTATTTTTACAGTAGTTGTCACCATATATTATTAATAACATAATTTCTTTCTGAGCATTCTTCATGTAAAATTAAAAATAGAAAGAAGTTCTGAGTACTTTTCATTTGCAGAAAAAAGATTACGAAATTAAATATGTCCTAATGAAAAAGTGAAGACTTTATGATAACCTAATCAAGTCTAAAACTAGAAATGCACTGATAAAAATTGGTTCCCAGAAATGTTAGGTGCTGAAAAAAAGATAAAAGCTGAAGTGGGTTTAATTAAAAAAAAAAAATACAATCCAGTAAAAGAGAAATCATAGAAAAATGTTTCAAGTGAAGGGTAGTTGTGAGAAACACTATGTCTACAAACACTACTGCTTGTAGTATTGAGAAAAGAAGGGAGGAGGCGAGTATTGGCATAACAAAAATTCTCACTATTAGTATCTGGTATTTTGCTGCATCATCTTGTACTTCTGCAGTTTGCTGCATCATTTCCAATTCAACTGCAACATTCCTGGTGCTAAGCTGGCATGGTTAGAAATTCAGAAAAGCTATATATATACAACTATTCTTCTCATATATTATTTCCACATTTTTAATGTTTTTCATATTAAATATTCTGAACAAAAGTGTAAGAAATGCCGAGGTTGTACTTGACACTGTGTGCTGGAGCACACCACGCCCCCTCTCCCAGGCAGCACGGGTGAGTGTCATTCTCACTGGGAATGGCACAACACCAAGTGTCACCCAGCTGCATCATTCACTGTGGTGGGCAGTGCCCAGGGGTAGGTGCAACAACTCAATCTAAAGAAATAACTGCATCTAAAGATTGTCCATTTCATTCTGGTGGAAAAAATCTGCATCGAGCACCTGTCAAATCCTTCTAGCCCTAAAGATGCATCAGCTGATTGAAATACTCTGACTCAAGAATGCCATATTTTATGTAATCTATATAAGATCTTTTTGTATAAATATTTAATATTTTTTCATCTCTCTTTATACATAAATCAAAGCTGATTATTCACAACTGATGACAGGATGAAATTTATGTTTTGGGAAGTGAGAGTGATAACAGGAGACTGATGATCTAGAAAATGTATGGTTTCTTTCAAAATATTGACTATTTGACCAAAGTTGGCTTTGATTAAAACAAGGGAATAGACAGTGGCCCTTTGCCTTGGGGAAAAAAAGAGATTTTAGAAATGACATTGTGCAAAGTACATTTTTAACTAAACTTATTTGTCTAACCAAGGAGTATATGGGCAACACTGACATTTTGGCACTTTGAATAAGCATCAGCATCTCATGCTAGTTCCCAAACAGAAAGCTGTCCTTTAAGCTCTCCTGAAAAGATATTTTCTCATCTTTGTAAAACACAGAAATGGAAATGAAATTAGAAAATGTTTAAGAAAAGGTCAAATGTTTGGTTAAATCCAATGGGTATATCTATTATCTATTTTTATTTCTCAGATGAAACAATAACCATTATTAGTAAAACTCTTGCAATGTTCTAGAAGTTAGTGAAGCTTTTCACTTGATCTGGAGTACTGCCAAACCCCGTATACTCAATCTAAACGTTATACTTAACTGCTGACAAAACTAAACAGCCATTTGAATTTAATGCTGATATGCCATAAATATAACTGAAGCTGTAGAAAAGAGGTCATTCATTTGGAACCTTTTCTGGAAGTGTCTCTGTGCTTATGCTAAGACTTTCCTCAAAAACATACAGTAACCTGTCTTGCTTTTTGTAATGTTGTTGGTTTTTCTTTTTAAGGTTAACGTGAGGCAAAACTATTTCTTCAAAGAATGATATTTTTATTTGATTTTTATTTCCTCGCTCTTGTCAGTTCAAATGTTATTAACACAGTGTTACTGAGAGGTTTAGCTATTTTCTAGATAGTGAGCTCTCAACTATCAAGATTCAGTAAAGCTTTTCTTTTGATAAGGAACTTTTTTATAATAAGTGATTTTGGTGGCTGAGACAGCTACAGTTTTTAGGTTCAGAGCTAAACCAGGAGCTCTGAAAAGGACTCTGACATAGAGTCAGAGAGAGAGAGAGAGTGTGTCTTCTAAAATTTGCATTAAAATAGCATGGAAATCACTGGACTTCCTGATAGTCTTCAGTATTTAGATTGTTTGTTGTATGTCATGAAAAATTCCTTTGGGTTACTGTATGCCTACTTTTTATCTTATTCTAAGTACAATCTCCACTATTTGACTTGAATTATAGTTAGTGGTGTTTTTTCCAACAGTGACTATTCCTTAAATTAAAAAGTAGTTTTACTGAGGTCATTGAGTTTTTTGATTTGCTAGTTAAGAAGATACTTCTGGACTCATTTGAGAAAAAGAAAGGATAAATGACATCAGTAGATATTTTACTGTGAACTGTGTATATTCACAGAGAAAAAGAAAGGAACACATTCTCGCTAGGAATAATCATATTAAGATTTTATTTCCATAGTTTGGTAACAGAATGTTCTGTTTGACATTTCTCATTTAGTACACAGTACACATGATACTTCAAAGATGATAGAGTCTGTTTGAGCTTGCGTGTCTGTGGTGTCATGAAATCATTACAATGACAATTTTACTTGAACCTACCTTTCTATCAGTTTCAAAAATCAAAGTAGCCTTTTATAGGACAGCAGCCAGTCATGGACTAACAACAGCCACAGAGAAGAAGGCTGCAGTGTGCACACAGATAACACTTTCACAAGTTTACATTTTGAATGTTAGGTATCCAGAAGTTTTCTTGAAAAAGGAAAATAATAATAATAACAATAGTAATAATAATAATAATAATAATAATAATAATAATAATAATAATAATAATAAAGTCATAGGCTAAAATACTTTGTGTCAGTTTACTTTGAATTGGTAAGATTAAAAATGTTTTCCAAATCTGTCATATTGTTCTCCATCACTGGCTCTTCCTGTGACCATAAAAGTGATTACATCTGTGGGCAATGGTTGTGAGGAGCTTCATACTTAATGGGATAAGCAAAATAAGCAGATTCTTAACAGCCCAAAGCAAAAATGGAGTTTTGAGTATGCATCTCTCCTGTTAATTGGTGCAGATTTGGTTTTGCCATGAGATTCCAAAGGGTTTAAACCCGATAATATTTATGCTAATTACCTAGTTTGTCAGAAGATAGAGAATTAAAGTGTAAAAAAAAAAATTCGACAACCTCAAAATGCTAACAGCTCTCAGTTCTAGAGAATGTATTTCTGTGGAGCAGTGTACATGCTTCTTTCTATAGCTCTTTCTCTGTGCAGTTACATCAGAAATGCCAGTTTCAGATACAGGAATAATTGGTGCAAGAGTTCTTATTGAGTAGTTTAATCTGCCCAAATTAAAAACTTAATTTAAATCAAGTTCCAGATTTTGAAAATAAATATGACTTCGTTTTGGTTTAAGAATTGATTGTTAAAAACACTTTTTCAACTTAAATTAGGCATGCGTGGTTGCTTGTTCAGGTTTTTTGTTAGTTTGCTTGCTTGTTTGTTTGTTGATTTGTTTTGTTTGGTTGGTTATTTTTGTTAATTATATCGTTGCATAGACTTTTACCAAAATATTTCTAACTTCCTGTGTAACTTACAGAAACACAATGATAATAAGAATCTATAGTAATAAGCTATATATATACTATAATCTCTCTCTATATATACTATAAGCTATATATATATATACTATAATCTATAGTAATAAGCTACAGAATGTAGAACACTAACTTTTAAAAATGGACCAAATTATTGTGTAAACAAGCCCCTGTTTTTTACGCCATTTGTTAAATATTAAAGACAGCGGAATATTTGACAAGTTACATGGATACTAACTTTTGGATAAGATGTTCTCTTCCAGAATGTTTAAGATGTGTAATAATTCTCTTCACCCCGGGCCTTTAAGAACTAATATAAATTTTATTGTTATTGATAATACATTTGTTTAGATCAAGTTTTCCCAAATGATATTAGGTGTATTATAATGTAAGTTACATAATATTTCTGATTTTTTTTTTTTGATTTACACTAGAAGTTACATGGGAAGACCAGCAGAAAAAGGTGAATGGTACAATAACTGATGACAAACCATTGCCGAAAAAGAAACACCATTCTGAGACAGGTTTGTCAGGGTTTGGAAAACCACATGAAAGCATGAGACTATAAAACCACATTTCATGCTTTTGTAATGCGTGTGTGCTTTATGTACCTTATTTTTTCACTTTGGTGTGAAATATTTAGCATGTAGAGACCATTTAGATTTTATAGTTCTGTTTTAGAATAGCCAAAATAGATCTGCTTTTGTAAGCAATTGTGTTAGAATGCGCATACATTAGAAAAGAAGTGTCCTGGCGCAACATTAGACATAGTTTGCTTTTAGTTTTGAATTTTGTTATGACTTAATATATTTGTGCAAGCCTCAGGAATCCAAGTATAATCTATGCTGATTCTTATTTAGTTGACCAAACCAAGGTATCTATTGCATGTATGGTGGGAAAATCTACAGACTTAAATCTGAAACCTTCTTTTGCCATCACACATGGCAGAAATAATGTTCCAGTGTAATTTTTTATACAAGCTGCAGTTTATATCCTCATACTTGGAAACTCTCAAATCTAAAAAACCTCTTCTTTCCTCCATTCTGTACACAAATAGAATTCTTCTGAAACTAAAAACTGTCATAAACTTACTTTCTCCCCAAATGGCAAGTTCAATTATTCAGCTAGCTTTGTTCCTACAAATGCATAGCAATAAAATGTAAACCTAGTAATAATAACAATGATTATAATAATAGTATTGTTCTGTCTTCATAATCAGAGAATAAAAGGTCCTAATCACATTCATTTATACACTTGCAAAGGGCAAGCACACTTTAAGGAGTAGAGAAGGTAGGGAGGAGAGAAGGAAGGGGAAGGGAAAGGAAAGGGAAATGGGATCTTTATATTGCAGGTTCCATCCTGCACTTAAAGAATGATCCAATCTACTCAAGTGAATGGGATTTTTAAGTTGCAGGAACACCTTAGTTCAGTTTTGTGTTGCAAATAACTCTATTGGGCATATTAGTTGTCTCACTCTAATAAAACCCTTCTCCCAGTCACACAAATTAAAATTTACAGGATTGTGTCACCTCCTAAATTAATAGTGTAATCTCACCTACATAATAATAAATACTGATAATATCCAAATGTTTTGCTGAAGTTCCACTGTTGTGCAGCTGAAAGTGCAAGACTCAGAACTGAAGAAAACCAGGAAATCTGTCTTGATTCTAACCTAGGAATTAGATAACCTATCTGTAAAAATCCAGATGTGCCCTTGCATTTCCTGTTCCCCAACTTTTTGATGCAGAAGTTACAGGATAAAACAAATAAGAGAGACTCTGTTTATAAGAGTCAGGATCAGAATGTGATATATCTTTTTTTACAGCTTTTTAAACTGTTACATGATAGATTCAAAATACAATGTCTACACATCTGCGCTGTTGTCTTTCCAGGGAGAGTCGAGCAGAATAGTGCCTCTGCCCTGACTTTTCCCTTATGTAGTATCTAGGTAGGAACATTAACTCCATCTTCCAGCTGAGGTGGGCTTAGGACTGTGTTCTAGACAGATAACTTATAGTTATTGACAGTACTTTTAGGGCCACCTTCTTCATATTTTAGAAAGAAGTACCATTTTTTAGATGGCTGCTCTTGGGGCATTCTACATTTTGGAACATGAGTAAAATCTTATAATTGAAAGACACAAACAGGCAGAAGGATAGAAATCTGAATCAAATATGAACAACAAGAAGTTCTCACTTTACAGGTGTTCTGTATATTAAAATGGTAGTCATCTGATTTCTATATATTTTTCTGTCTGGAACAGAACCACTGATCTCTAGTCAGAATTGGTTTGAAAAGCCACAGTCACCATTAAAGTCTAGAATAGATACAAAGTTAAGTAAAAGCTGTGTTCTTCACTTAACAGTCCTAAGTCTTTCTGTGAGGGCTGATGCCTAATAAGAGCATAAATTCTGTTTTAATTTACATTATCAGTAAAGTCTTGTAATCAGTAATGCATGGGATGGTGATACATGAGGAAGAAACATTGAGGTGGTTCTGAACAAGCTGCAATGGGCCTCAAATGGCACATCCCCACATTCCTCAGATGCTTTTCTGAACTGAGTCTGTCAAAAAGCTTTATGAACTTCAGTAGTAGGAGTGGAGCAATGCAACTTCCAGGACTGGCATAATCTGCTATGTGTGCACACTGCTGTTCCCTGTAGACATCCCTGTATCATTTCAAAAATTACCTTTCAAGGCATAGCAGTCAGGACATCTAGAAGAAGGTGCCACAACACTGTACTCACATCTGGACGTTGAGCTATATTATATCTATGACCATGATCTAACTGATGCTGCCTGACAGAAGCTACCTAAGGAAGCTTCAAATTCCTTGAACCCTTACAAGATGGGATTTACCCTCTGCACAGGAATGCACTTTCTTTCATCTGAGAATTCTTCAAATGTTCTGTCTGCACAAAAACCAGTGAAGCTATACTAATGAAACTTAGTTCCTGAATGCAGAGGGTGCAATGGAGGCAAGAAGGAATAGGGACACATCATATTCCCCTGTTTTGATTGCCTTTTCATCTGTTGATGAGTTTTCTGATATGACCTGTTATGAAAGCTTATACCGTCTTTAAGTGCAGGTTGTCTGTTAAGAATTTAACCTAACCAATGCCATGGAAATAGCCATGGCAGTAGTACAGCTAAGAAAACCTGGGAGAACAAATAGGCATTGATTACATGAGTACCATGAGCACAGAACTGAGATCTGTGAGCAAATTGTGGAGAAAAGCATGAATAGATAACAAAAGTAATTTCAAACCCCAGAAAAATAACAGTAATACTGTACCTTGTAAAGCATTAATATTCAAGAAATATACATGACTGGAAATGCGATTAGCAAATTTATTGGAGGACAATTGAAGGTCATTAAATAACACAGCAAAATGGTTCTTGTGTTGCAGACTTTTCAATAAAGTTGATGATAAGGTTTCTCTTCCTGAATATCAGAAACCAAAATGATGATTTTTTTTAACAGTGTCTTTAAGCTCTAAGTTCTGATGCAATTTGCAGAATTAGTGTTAACCATATTTCAAAGACTCAATTTTATTTATGTAAATATTTTGAAGGATTGGAAGGGTAAAACTGCAGAATCGTAGGTAAGCATAGCACAAAAATTCAAGCCACGTTTTGAGTGTGTGCCCTTCCTTTAGCTGATGTCAGTACTCTGTCAGAGAATACTGCATTCTAGACACCACTAAATCAAAAAGCAGGAGAAACAGTTACTTGTTCATACCTGAGAATAGTAAGTACCTTCAGCACCCACCACTGCGTCTGAGCTGTAATAGATGGTATTTGAAAGAAAGTGAATAAAACTCTGGTCCTCTAATCAGATTTCATTTTTCAGTGAAAAGAAAAGAAAAAGCAGTACAGCAGGCAAACATTTTCATGTGATTTTGCATTTTTATATATGAGGCCTTAAGAGAAGAAGTTGGAAAAGAGGGTTGTGTGTAGAGAATGTGTCCTGTACTGATCCAGATAAGGCTGGGCAGGATACTGTTTTTCTTAAAAAGCAATTACTTCATCAGTATCATCACTAGTGTCTTTTGAGCTCATCAAGGTAATTAAAATGGGAAAATGACGCAGTTTAGGGTACCAGAGATACTAATTTCTGTTCCATTTCATGATCCAAAATATTGGAAGCTGAATATGGTCTAGCATCCTGTGTCTCCATCCAGAGGTGACAATACAGAAACTGCCTTTGTAGAATAGCAAAGAAGGCAGTATTGGCTTTCCCTGTTTTTCCTACAGAGAGGCAGTAGATTTGATGGCTATTACCTGAAGCCATCTGTAATGGTTTTATTATCACTGGTTGTTGAAAACATTGCAGTGTCACTAAATATCCAATCTTTACAACAGAAACTTTTGATTTCCAAGGAGCAGTTGAAGAACAGAACGGTGAGAAAGTGCTGAACATATATTAATATTGTTGAACAAAAGGACACAGGGTAGTTAAAATGGATTTATAAATCTTGGACTGGAATTAAGTAAAAATTGAGTGTCCTTGTAATTATTTTGGGGAAAGATGTATTTCTGTAATATGGAAGTAAAATAAAGTCTTAGAGAAATCATAGCAATGGTAGGTTAAACACATCAGAAAATATAAAGTTAATGTGTGCTTACAAATGGAGAGTCTTTAGATGTGTAGATTTGCTTTCCATTTAAAGGGAATCATGCTTATTTTCATCTGTGGAACATTTAAGTCTCTCTCCTGGGTAGGACTATGCCATGACACCTACATACACAAAGACTTTCAGAATCTAATGTTATGTAACGAAAACTAATTGTAGCTTATCTATTACCATGAATTCAGTCGTAGTGTGAAAACAGTAGTCCAAAATAATTCAAAATTGTATTTATTTTAATAGAAGTTTGTAGTCAGAATTCATGGTATGAGAGACTGAAAATTATGAAAAGGGAGATATGGTTAGAAATGAGTTGGAAAAGGCAAAGTAATGATAGGACCTAGAGAGAAGTAATTGCCTTCTCAGGATTCATAATAATTCCAGTCCAATGTGTAACTATAATGCATTAATATTTTGGAGTGTTATTATTTTGTCTTTTTCCCCCCTTATAAAATTACCATGTGATCTTTATTCAGAGAAGTAAAACAATAAAAGCTCTGTCTGGATTCTTCATTTAGTTTATCTTTCAAGATTTATGGAAAAGTTATGCAATCTACATGGTTTAATTTGAATTAGAGATTTTGTGATACTGAGAATATTTACAATTTCTTCTGTTATTTTCTGCTGTTGTCTCTACTATCCTTATCTTTGGATAAGAGTTAAGATTTTTCATACTTACTGTCTTTAGCTATTGAAGGATAGTAAAGGATAAGAGTAAGATTTTTCATACTTACTGTCTTTAGCTATTGTGTTTTTTATATAGTGTATATTACATACAGTCTATATTATGTAATTGCAGAATTAAATGTATTGCTTTAGCCTTTCCTGTATTTTCTTGCTATATTTTTGAGTAAAAATGTCAGCATACATCCAGTATACAGATGCTATTTTGTGTGTATATGTTTATGCTTTAAGGTAAAGGACTATAACTAAGAGGGAGCTACCTCATTAAAAAAGTTCAGAAGTGTGGGACAGGCTCTATATCTAGTTGTGGCTTAATGCTTTTGGAGAATATTAAGTAATACTGATTTTATTCACATCTCAATGTAGAAAAATGGCCTTTTTGTCCAAATCTTCTGCTAACAAATATTGGTACTCTCAGCTTTTCTATCTACTCTTGTATATATGTATGCTTAGCATTGCAGTTAGAGTGGTGTCAGGGGATATCTTCCCTGAGGGTTAAATGTATTATATCAGTCTTCAGGTCTAATTTCATCCAGATTGATGACAAAATTTTATGGAACATACAGACTCTATGGAGCATTTCTGTCTTAGAGTCTCTTCTGTGTTTTAAGATGATGCTTATTTGATTGTGCTATTGCAGATCATATTTTGTGAAGAGTGTACAGAAATGAGACTTTACAAATCTGAGATTCTGTTTGCAGTGAAAGATCTTTGGTTCTTAGGAAAAGATAAAAACGAAATTAAGAAAACTCTTGAGGGGAAAAAAAAAGAGTAATTAACTTATGTCTCTCTGTTCTCTGCTGCTTTAAGAATTTTAGTTGGGTGTGTTTGCCGTGTAAAGGTTTTTTGAACACTGAGTTCCTAAATACTTCTCTTTAATGGGTGACGTTGCTTACAATGAGCAGTTCTGTGTCAAAGCATGATAAAAGAGATGGTACTTATTTTGGGCAGGTGTCAGACAAAGTTTTTGTTAACTTTTTATGTTTATTTATTGAGATTTTCATTTGTTTCTAAATCTGTATATAAGAGCCTCCTACATACTACTCTCATACATCGAGATGAACAATTGCTGCAAATGAATGCTAGTTCCACAAAAAAGCAGTAACTACAAAGGGAGACTGACTATTGACTTGATGTAAATTTAATAGAATTGGTGACATTGTTTTATTCTTGCATTTAAATGTATTTCTATCAAAAGGATTACTTTGTAGATTAAAAGCTACAGAAACAGAATTTTCAAACTATTGTTTGAGATTTATGGCATGGCATCTCAATCAGGAGAAAAAGTGATTCACGTAAGTCGTGCTGTTTTAAAATTAATCAGTCTGTTAGTGTACTTTCTTCTTCACATCTTTATTTGAAAGAAGTTGGTGCATTACCGTGCCATGACTTCTACTAATTCTTTAATATTTCCAACAATAAATACAAAAATATTATAATCCATTTATCTCAACAGATGAGGTAGCAGTCGATCAGGTATCCGCAGTGAGATGGCAACTATTATCTTTTTTTCCCCTCTGGCTTCTATTAGAAATATTCTTCTAATATGTTTGATAAGTAAAAATCTAAAACTGAAAAATATTTGTAATTAAGAATGATTTTTGATTGCCACTTTGATATGTAATTTTTTTTTCATAACAAATACTTTGCATGAGGACTTTTAAAAAGGCTATTGTAAAAAAATATTGGTATATGTGACTGCTATGCATGCAAATACTGGTCATTTGATTCTAAAATATTCAAAGAGAGCTTCCTTGCTATTCAGTTGTGTCTGTCTGGCATTATTAGAATACCTTGCATTATCTTACCAGACATATTCCAAGTTTGGAAATTATGTGATTCAATACTTTGAAAATGTATAGAGAAGTATTTCTCTTACTGCAGTATATGTCTCAAAGCTACTCATTCTTATGGATATCAAAAAAATATACTGTGGATTAGTGGGGTCTTGGTAGATACTTTCTAATAACTGGCTTTGCTGTAGTAGGAATGCTCACTTCAGGGCTATACATAAGTAATATAAAATATTTTCAGAACATTTTGAATACTTTTAGCTGTGTTTTGGTGGTGCAAATAACGATTTATTTAGCACTTACAGCAATTATAGCTACATTATTTTAGTATGAGTGTAACATGACATGGAGAAGTAGCTCTTTCTATTTGCTTATTTGTATTTCTTCCAATGGATTCTTTGTACTTGCCCAGATTAAAAAAATATTTATACTCCATTATTGTTTTTTTTTAACATGCAAAGACATAGCAACCTTTGTCAAAACTGACAGCTGCTTTCACACTACATATCTCATATATAGCTCTAATGTGTGTTCATTCTATAAGCAAATTTAATTGCCTAAAAATGCATTCTAGTTATGCATGTTTGAAGCTTCTTGGTTTTGCAACAATTTTGCAAATCTTGGCATTTGCAGTCTTGGCATTTGATAGTAGATTAAAATATAATCTAACACTACAATATAAAATTATTGAAGTATAGAAGACAATGGTTATCGGATAAAATTTGGTGTTGTCTTTAATTTTGTTTTACTGATTTATGTTGCTTATTCTGATTTTGCATTTTTTTCAATGATATTGACTGTAAAATGCTGATAAAATTACAGATATTTTTGTGGTGTCTAAAACTTTCTGGACTTCTTTATCTAGTATCTTCAGCATTAATAATTTATGAGCAGTGTTTTGTGACTCATTGGAAAACTGCATGTTGAAGTTAGACCAAGTTTATAGTTTTTTTTGTTATTTCTGATGATTTTTGAGAGAAAGCATTTGTTCTGCTAGCAACAGTGGCTTCACAGTTCTTTGTAATTATTATTACTTTTCAAGATTAATTCCTCCCATTCCTTTGCTACAAATAGATTTTCAGTACATAGCATGGCACTGTCCCTCAGATGTTTTCCATGTCTAAAATGGCAGTGTGCCTTTGAATGTGAAGTAATAACGTAAGTAATGAGATAGCTGCTTTGGCATTTGACTTGCATGCATTTGTAGTAACTTAGACTTCTGTGAGATGAGACCAGCATTGATTCTGAAAAAGTTTCCTGAACTGACCATGAGAGTTAATAGCTATACATTCTCTTTTCACACATTCTGTATTTTGGTCTTAATAATTTTGCCTTTGGCAGAGCATTACAATAATGCAGTCCTTTCCAGAGTGTGTTATGTGGATTCTGAAATGTCTGAGCTTGTACATACATTTGCAAAAAAAAAAAAAAAAAGAAAAAAAATTATTTTCTGGTTTGGGTATCTGATGTCTGGTTCAGCATAAATTACAATAACTTCATAACTGAAAAATCTAACAATAGAAGTCCCTTGAACATTAAACTGAGTGTTCAGTACTTGAAAGAGAAAAATAATATTTGCGTTCAAGTAGATAACGTTCAAAAAATTGAACAATCATGAACAAAAGTATTTATGCTAGTTAACATACCTTTTACTATCCAGCTTTTTCTTCAGCATCATTACAGGGATTGACTTTGCTGCCAGTTATAACTTTTATTATTTCCTCAGCTTCTATACTAACTCTGTCTTTACTGTTCTTTTCCAACAACAGTAGTTTAACCACTTCTTTCTCAGCTTTCTTTTTTCTTCTAGTGTCTTTTTTTTTTTTTTTCTCCACTTACTAACTCTGCTCTGCAGACTTCTCTCTAAAACAATTTTTGGCCCTTTCCCTCAGTGTCAGTTTTAACCTTCTGAATACATCCTCTCACGCCCATCTCCTTTGTCTATGTCTGTACATTACACGATGTGATCACAGAAGAAGCGGAATCATCAAGGAGAACAAACTCAGGTCTGTCTCTTCTACTGCTTTTCTCTGTGTTATTTTTTTTATTTTACCTTTCTATAGATTTTATCACAGTTCACCTCACATACTTTTCCCTCTCTTCCCCCCGCAATAAACTGGCAAAATATTGTCAAGGTGTAAGAATTTTAGTTTAAGACTCTTATGTAATTTCTATTACTTATGAACTATGAACTCTATAAAAAGTGATGAAAGGTAGCTGATGACAAGCAGGCTATACCTTAAGATTTTAAACTGATTTGAATTTTGTCACATCTGTTCTTATTTCCCATCTCAAATCATCTGAAAATTAGCCTTTAAAGTTCCAGTTAACACATGAAAACAATCTATAATTTGTTTTATCTATGCATTTGAAAACTGCTACAAAAACTGCAGAAACTTCTATAAATAGTCCTTTTTTACTCTGGGAGGATATAATTTCAAAACAGAATAATTTCAGTAAGTTAAATTTCATGCACTGGAATTTCAAACTTAGTGTTTGAATAAAACCTGTTTTGAATAAAGACTGTTTCAATTAGAAGTAGAGTTTTTAGTGAACAAAAGCTCTTTTCTCATGCCAAAAAGTGCAAATCAAAAATTTCTGATAGTATGAGAGCAAGAAGTTAGAACACTGAAGGAGTCCTCACTTAGCTGCATTGTTTATGAGGCTTTTATTTTATATTGTACATAACCTATGGTTTTTCTTCATAACAAATTTTAAGCTGCCATTTTATTGAATTTTCCATGTACTTTATATTGCTGGCAGAGAACTAATATCTATCAAGGCATCCTAGCTCTGAAAATGCAGTATAAATGCAGTATTTGTTCACATTTCCCTGCTTGTTCAGATGTGGTATGTAGAACAACAGCAAAATTCCCCATATTTAATGAAATTAAATTCAGCTATAAAATTTGAATTTTACAATTACTGTGTAAAAGCTTTAATTAATTTCCTGTTTCTCTGCTATTATCCCAACAAATTAGAGAAGCCACTTGGATGCCATTTAGGTTAGCAAATCTGGAGAAGTTTTGGGGTACATTGACTGGACCATTAAATTTAGGTGATACTTAGTGAAACATTTTTGTCCTTTCTCTACTATGACTGGCTCCTTCAGAGCTCAGTTTTACCTTTCGTATTGGTCTTGTCCTAATTAGAGTCAGAGATTATTTTTACAGAATCTTGCAGATGTTATTTGCTGTGGTTTTCATGTTAAACAAATCTCAAGATAGAAATTGTTAAAATTACAGGGTAAAAATAGTTGAGGATGGGTAGGGAAGACAACTGGCAGGGTTTTCTGAAATCACTCTTCTGTAAATCACTACTCTTAGGTATTAATAAATTATGCTGTAGAAAGACTTGAGTTTACTTACCTTGTGCTTATGATTCACTGCCAGTTCCTGTGCAGTGATTCTGAATCTCTTTTATTACAAAAATGAACTTAGGACATTGGTGACCCATTTCCTATCTGTTCTTAATAAAAGCTGTAGGCCTTTTTATTCAAAAACCTTCCGCTGAGTTATTGATTGAATCAATATATTAAATCAGAATATGGAATCAGTCCATATCTCTCTCAGTGCTGGAAGAAATCAGACCTTAAAATGGTCAGAAAATACCATTTATTTACTTCACCTATGTTTCTTGAACATATATAAGTAGGTAATACTCTGTATTATTCATTTTTTTTGACATTGCAGTTCTACAAAACACTACTTAGCTCACAGTGTTAAGTAAATGTGTTAGGCACTGATGAATTTAATTGTTCAGCACACAAATTTAAAAGCGTGATCAGCTCTGCAGTTGCAATAGTTGTTATTACTGCCCTTAATCTCAGGAGAAAATTATTGTGTGTATAGTAACATATTTTCAGACGCATGTTTGAAACAGGTCCTCTTCCATGTTTGCCTTAGTAAGAAATGAGGTTACATGTTTCAGTACAAGGCACTTGGAGCACAGCTAAAAAGAAAGGTTTTATTTCAAAGGCATACTTTAGAACAAAGCATTTTCCCATTGTTTTAGAATTTGTTTTAACAAGTGTGAATCTAGGATTATCACTTTACGGGTTTTCTTAGGAAATTATTTTCACATAATTTATTTACCATGGTTTATTTTTGATGCTACCAAAATTAATGCATTCCAGAGGATTAGCTATTGATTTGCGGTGTTATTAGACCAAGAAGTCTTGTGAAAGCTAAATATCTGAATTTGTTACAATTGTATTGATAGAAAAATGTTGCAATTTCCTCTGTCTGGATATTATAATCTATAATTGTAAAAAATCAAATTTTATTCCTTGAAAAACTTAGATTTTTTATTGAAAAGTTTTATGAAAGTGTGTGCAAAGCTTTTGCTGTAAATTTCAAGCACAAAACATGTTCAGAAAGATAAGAAGCAAAAGTATTTTATTATGAATTTTGTTATCTGACAGCAGTAGAGCTTGATAGCATCCTTAATGATTAAACCCTGTTTTTCTTGGGTGAAGGAAGAGCTTTGCAATACAGGCTTTTCACAAACCTGCTTTGAGATGCAGGGTTTTCATATTTTTCAAATTAATATGTTTCATAGGTTTAGATGTTGTGAAAACTGTTGAGGAGATGTGTGCCTGTTCATAGTCCCATGTCTTCACAAAGAATACTTCCATTCAGGAGAAGTGGAAGTGAGCCATTGTCTGCCCAAGAGCCTTAGTGAGAAGCAGATATCTTTATTTTCATCTCTAAGATGGGAGACACCAACCAGTTATCATCATAGCAAAAATTGCTGGCAATTGCACACTGTGTTCTTCAAACATATGAAATACAGAGAACATTGTTCAGAATTCCAACAATTGATCTAGCTGACTCAAGTGACTGCCCAAAAAATGATCATCAAAACATTGCAAAGGCAGATCCATGCCAGTACAAAGGCAGTCAGTGCACCTGCAGCAGAAATAGTGCTGAGTGAGTAATTCTAAGATGAGAAGGGGTGGCATAGTGATACCCAGGCGTTCTAAATTTTCTAACATGGATGGAAGTTAGAAGATAGTAGGGACTGTTCCATTTCTAAAGGGTGGTGAAAGGCATGGAAATAGATATTGAAGTACTTTTTTTGCAACCTCTGGTGTAAAGCTGTCATGTTAAGAGCAAACAAAGGCTTGATTAGAGTTTTTGTTAATGTTCAGCGTGAAATTCAAATAGACAAGGGCTTTGAAATACGTTTTGTTTTTGGTGCTTTATTATGAAGTTTCTTTGTAATAACACGATGGATGGAAATGAAGCTAGCAAACCCTACTGAGGATGAGTGACCAAATTGAAAGAGCTCATAGAACTGGAGAGTGGAGGGCCAAACAGTGAAAGGATGTGGCAAATTTACTGTAGGAGAAAACAAGGACAAAAAAAATGGCACAGTTCAGTGTTTAAGAAATCAGCTGCAGTAGAAGGCAAGGAGCAGAGAAGGATCACAGGTCTTTTAATTTATTCTTATCTTACAGAACTGTGAGAGATTTTTCAAGTCTTCCAAGAGTGAATCTTCTGTGATATACTTACCCTTTATAAACAGAACATGACACCCCTCTGCTTTTGAGTTATTATTATAGTCAGTATTCTGCAACACACTTTCCTTTAAAGAGCAGGATGACGCCTTGTTCTGTTTCCATTTTCCTTATGTTGAAAAAACATTTCTGGGTAGGATTTGTAACATTTTAGCACAAATATGATTAAATTACTTGTGCATCTGTGAACACTTCTGCGATATTTAGTTTGACAAGCTTATTTAAAATCTGATGCCTTAGATTGTGAAAGAGACATTTAAAACACCGACATCTGTATTTGGTCAACAAAACCCAAAGGGTAAACTCCAAATTCAGTCTAATTTTGTAAACTCTGAATTCAATCTACAGGTACTTAGCACAGTAATAGATGTATCATACTGGATGGCTGGGCAGCTCTTTGTCCTTATTTTTTATTTTGTTTAGAATTAAAGCCAGAAGCCAAAGACTTCTGAAGTAGCCATCTGTACTAAGCCACAAAAATAAAGGCTGATGATCAGTCTGCTGAAGCTAAAACAGTAAATACATCAGATTATGTAATTTAAAATGACAGCATAATTTTGCAAAATGTTTGGTAGTTTAATTTGTAACTATTCTGAGTTCTAAATGCAGGTGATGATTTTGTGTTCCTTGGTTAAACCTTTGACTATCTTTCTAGTTATTGAGATGCTAATGAATATATCTTGCATTCTTCGATGGCTGAAGAATCTCTATTAATACCTGTTAGCTTTTCTGAAAGCAGAGGCACCAAATGTTTATGCCTATGATTGGAAGTGGCTGTATTAGAATGTGAAATTCTCGGTGGTTATGCTGTGCAGTGTACCACTGGTGGGAACTCTGAGATGCATGCTTAGCAAACAGGATGTTGGAAAGGTTTATAATAAGACAGGGCTCAGGTTTTCCTGAAAACAATGAAGAGCTTATAGTGTGGTGGATCTGAATGGATATTTATGATTACAAAATATAAGGGCCCACTGACCACTCAGATATTTTCCTTTCACACTTTCAAAATCCTATTTCATGTCATTTATATAGAGAGGATGTGCCAGAATTCTTGGAAGAAGCAAAATGGGATGTTTTAGCTAATATTTGACTTAAAATGGGATGTTTTGGCTAATATTTGACTTACTACTTCTTTATTCCATGCTTTTTCCACATAGACCTCAGTATTTTATGAAAGCTACCAAAATGTGTGTACACCTTTGTGTGAGGCACAGAAAAACATCACTGGCTACCCTGCAAAAATCACCATGGAAAAGAATCGAGGCAGCATAAAAAAAGGGCTAGCCATAGCCCTAATCATCACTTTAATAAATATGCAAAATAGAACTTTTCCAACTTGCTTAGAAAGATGTTCGTCCTTTACCATCTGCACTGATCTGTACCTAATGATGGAGACCTTAGCTGACCCTGTCAATTTATAAACCCAGGATTGTAGAAATTCTTTAACTTCCCTGTTTAGATTACCACACCATTTTATTCAGTTCT